TTATTTGCCATTCAATCATTTTTTATTTTTCAGTTATTTTTAACATACAGTATTATATTAGTTCCAGGTGTATATCCCAGTGATTAGATATAACACTAAGTGATCATCCCAATAAATCTTTTACCCATCTGACAACATACATAGTTATTATAATATTTCTGGCTATTTCCATATGTTGTACTTTACATCCTAAGGACTGTTCTGTAACAATCAGTTTGTATTTCTTAATCCTTTCATCTTTTTCTCCCATGCCCCTAACCCACTTCCAACTGACAGCTGTCAAAATGTTCTCTATCTACGGGTCTGTGTCTGTTCTGCTTATTCATTTATTTTTATGTTTATTTTTAGATTCACTTGTTAATAGATATGTATTTATTGCCACTTTCTTGTTCATGTTTTTAATCCTTTTTTTTCCTTCTTCTTAAAGAAGACCCTTTAACATTTCACATGATACTGGTTTGATGGTGATGAACTCTTTTAGCTTTTTCTTGTCTGGGAAGCTCTTTGCCTGTCCTTCAATTCTAAGTGATAGCTTTGCCGGAGAGAGTAATCTTGGTTTGTAGGTCCTTGCTTTTCATCACTTTGAGTATTTCTTCACATTCCCTTCTGGCCTGCAAAGTTTCTGTTGAGAAATCAGCCAACAGTCTTATGGGAGTTTTCTTGCTTTTCTTATGGGAGCTTCCCTCTGTTTTTCTCTTGCTGCTTTTAAGATTCTCTCTTTGTCTTTGACTTTTTGCATGTTAATTATGATGTGTCTTGGTATGGGCCTCTTTTGGGTTCATCTTGTTTGGGACCCTGTGCTTCCTGGACTTGTATGTCTATTTCCTCTACTATGTTAGGGAATTTTTCTGTCATTTTTTTTCAAATATATTTTCAATTTCTTCCTCTCTCTCTTCTCCTTCCAGCACCCCCATGATGTGACTATTGGTACACTTGAAGTTGTCCCAGAGGCTCCTTACGCTATTTTCATTTTTTAAATTTCTTTTTCTTTTTGCTCTTCTGATTGGGAGTTTTTTGTTTCCTTATATTTCAAATCACTGATTTGATTCTCGGCTTCATCTACTCTACTGTTGATTCCCTGTAAATTATTTTTCATTTCAGTTAGTGTATCCTTTATTTCTGATCAGTTCTTTTTTATGGTCTCTATGTTCTTTTTCTTTTTTTTTTTAAAGATTTTATTTATTTATTTTTAGAGAGAAGGGAAGGGGAAGAGAGGAAGAGAAACATCAATGTGTGGTTGTCTCTCGCGCACCCCCTATTGGGGACCTACACCGAAACCCAGGCATGTGCACTGACTGAGTGGGAACTGCACTGGCAACCCTTTGGTTTGCAGGCCAGCACTCAATCCACTGAGCCACACCAGCCAGCATTCTATATCCTTATTCATGCTGTTGAATTTCTCATTAAGTTCCTTGTGTATCCTTATAACCATTGTTTTGAATTCTGTATCTGGTATTTTGCTTGCCTCTGCTTTATTTAGTTCTTTTTCTGGAGATTTCTCCTGTTCTTTCGTTTGGGTCCAGTTTCTTTGTCTCCTCATTTTGGCTGCTTCCCTAAGTTTGTTTCTATGTATTAGGTAGAGAGCTGCTACATCTGCCAGTCTTCATAGATTGGCCTTATGTAGCAAGTGTCCTGTAGGGCCCAGTGGTGAAGCATCCCCCGTCCCTCAAACTGGGCGCTCCAAGTGCGCCTTTTTGTGAGCTGTGTGCACTGTCCTGTTGTAGCTGAAGCTTGATTGCTGCTGGTTTCATTGGGAGGGATTGACTCCCAGGCCATTTGGCTGTGAGGATCAGCTATGACTATAGCTGAGGAGCTGCCATGCAGGAGCCGACCCTACAGAGCCGCACTTGCTTCAGTGGGGCTTCAAGGCTCACTGAGTCCACCCCTCGAGTGTGTTGCTTGTGAGTGTGGAAGGGCGGGTCTGAAGCTGTCCACAACCACTCAATGTTTTGTTATGTGTAATATATGTATGTAGCTGTAAGGAAGAACGAGGACATTCTGTACGAGCTGAAAGAGAGAGATCTTCAGATTATAATGTTAATTTAAAAGGTGCAAACAGATCAATCTTAGCATCTCTAAATGTGCAGCAACCAGACAAATGCGATGGAATCCAAAGGACTTGGCACTAGCTGAGAAGTATTCTTGAATACTTCTAACCAAAATCTAACCAAACCTGAATCTAACCAAACCTCTAGTGCTAAGTTTCATTTATAGGAAATAGAAAGAAAAGAGACTGAGACCACAGGGAAGCAGAGAAAGCCAGAATATAGGACATCCCACAGGGCAGCTGACTTGCACAACAAGTCCATGTGGGGCTCAAGGGGAGGAGGGGAAATTGTCCTAGATTAACAGGCAGTTAAGAGCCAAATACAGTGTAGGAACCTAATTGGGTCTAGACTTAAACAAACATAAAAGAACATTTCTTAGTTTATTTTTTTTTAGGATTAAGAGCCACTTTATTCTTTTTTGGTTTATTTTTTAAATTAAAAAATTTTTTCTTAATTTTATTGAGTGATTTTAAAGAGAGGCAGGAAACAAGGGTGGGGGTAGAGTGGGGGGAAAGACTTCAATGTGTTGTTCCACTTGTTGATGCATTCACTGGTTGACTCTTGTTTGTGCCCTGACCGGGGAATCGAACCGACAACCTTGTCATGTCGGGATGATGCTCTAACCTACTGAGCTACCCAGCCAGGGCCTATTTTTTATTTTTTAATTACAGTTTACTTTTAATATTATTTAGTATTGGTTTCAGGTGTACAGCATAGTTGTTAGTCATACAGTTGTTAGTCATACACTTTAAAACTTATTCTCTTGCCCAGATATTTCGGTACACACCTGCCTGGCACCATACATGGTTATCACAGTGTTATTGACTGTATTTCCTATATTGTACTTTATTCACTTATTTGTTTTTCTTTTTTTTTAATCTTCACCTGAGGATATGTTTACTGATTTTTAGAGAGAGAGAGGGAGAGAGAAACATTGATGTGAGAGCAATGTTTCTCTTGGTTGTCTCTCGCACACGCCCCAATTGGGGATTGAATCCACAATCCAGGCGTGTGCCCTGACCAGGAATTGAACCTGCAACCCTCTCGTGCACAGGAAGACACTCAACCAACTGAGCCACCTGACCAAGGCTCTGTGCTATACTCTACATCCACGTGACTGTTTTGTAACAACCAATTTGTACTTCTTAATCCCTTCACCTCTTTCACCCGGTTCCTCACCTTCCTACTCCCTCTGGCAACCACCAGGTCCTCTATCTGTGTCTGTGAGTCTGTTTCCGTTTTGTCTGTCTATTTTGGGAACATTTTTTTGATAATCGGGGGAATTTGACATGAACTAAACAATTAGGTGCCACCGGATAGTGCAAGATAAAGATACAAGGATGGGCATTGTAGTGCTTGCAATAATTTTTTTTTAAGGCTAGAAAGCCACCACATGCCAGAGAACATTTCTAGAACTCTTCCTGGCAGTGAGAAGGGACCTCTTTGAAAGGAAGTTGGCAGAGAGGCCCTAGCAAATGCCCACGGCGAGAGGCCTGGTCAGAATGTTAGGTGAATTTTTTTTTTTGGCAGCTTTATTGAGAGAGAATTCACATACCATATGCTCTTAGTTAATATGACTCCTAGCCCCATAGTTAATTCACCCTACCTCACACTTAAATATGGGCATTTGCTGATTGTTATTAGTTACGTGGGCAGACATATTAAGAGCAAATATCAAATTCATGAAACATTGTTTATAGTGGAACCATCTGGAGCTTAAGGACTTGTGTTCTCATTTGAAATTACCATTCATGTGCCTTTGGGCAAGTCAATCTTCTCCTGTCTGTTTCCCTGTCTGTAAAATGAAGAGGTTGACTATGATGTCTTGAGTTACTGCTTGTGATGCTGTCTGTGCTCATGTTGAACAAGCTGACGATTTGTATTAAATGCATTTAATGGCATAAAGGTGGGTGTTAAGGAAATCAGGAAGTAAAGACAGAGAAAGAAAGACCTCCGGTTCTGAGAAATTATTTAGTCTGTGATCTCACTTGTCTTTCATAAAGAACCCTTGGCTTTTAAATTTTCCAGGCAAAAGTCACTCTCCCAGGGCTGAGACTGCTTGGGTCTGAGACTTTACTTCAGTGATTACTGACAATTGATACCCGAAGCCCCTGGGGTGGGAGGAGAGACCCTGTGTATACAAGATGGAAGAGAAGTCTCCTTAATTCTGCCCACAGGAGGGGAAAAGCAGCTTTGCTGACAGGACTGTGTCTTCCCGAAGCAGAAGAGTTTGAAAGTTCAGGTCAAAGTAAAAATATTAATACAAATTTCTCATTTTATAAGTTTTATACGTGAGGAAACTGAGACCCAGCAAGGTTATATGACGTAGGCCAATTTGTGTTAAAATAAGGCTGGTGATGGAGTGGAAAGGGCCCGTAATTGTGAGAATAAGGAACATGCCATTCACTGTGGGATTCCCCGGCTCCTAGTCCACTGTCTGGCACATAGTCAGTGCTTCGTGAACAAAGGTCACACAGCTGACAAATTGACTGACTTCTTGAAAGAATGCATGTTTTTTTTATCTTTGTTCCCTAGTAACTAGCTGGACCCAGGCACAGTCTATTTCAAGCCGAGGACTATTTCTTAGAAGACATCAGAAGGCTTTCTTTACTTGCTAAGGGACACTTTTTTTGATTGAGTAACACCTTTTCTCTGAGTATTGCTTCCTCTTTGTTGATACTAACAGAATAAATATCAGAGCCCACACAGGATGTGTGTGATGTAGCATCACAGAGACCTGGAGTTTCATTTGATGTCACTGTGCACATACCATCATTAACAGAGGAGGGATCGGTGGTCTGACGCTGGTGTGCTGGGCTAGCCCTCAGGGAAGTGGCCGCTGCTCCTGTGATTGTGGAGCAGGGACGCCGTTGAAGGAAGTCTCCGGTGCAATTGGAGAGCTAAAACGGCACCGCCCCAGGGCCGTTCTCGGGCTTTTCTTCTGCAGGACTCATGTTTTCGCATCTCCCCTTCAACTGTGTCCTGCTGTGGCTGCTGCTACTGACAAGTAAGTCTGGGTATGGACTTTTGCAATGGGATTGTGCCGGATAAAGATACAAGGATGGCTGTCCTGATACTTGCAGTCGTGAAAGTTTGGAAGCAACCTAAATATGCATGAACAGGGAAGTGGACAAAAATAAATAATTGTGATCTATCCATGATGCAAACAGTGAAACTGACTAAACATAATGTTATGAGATGTCTGTAATTCATAAGGTTGATTGAAAAAAGCAAGGAGCAGGATAATACATAGCATAGAGTAGACGTCTACTTGTGTGTGTGTTGCAGGATGTGGGAATACATGAATGCTTCTTAGTGTACAGACTCTGGAAAGGGGAGCTGGGGAATGGGGAAGGGCAGAAGGGGACTACTCTTTCCATATACTTTTAATGTGGACTGCTTTACAATGTATTTTTTTTAAAGACAATTAATTTTAAACCTAAAAACAGCCATACATTAGTTTCTCACTCAAGCAAGGGTTTTTATTCATTATGTGCCTGGTGGTTGAAGAGAGAGAGAGAGAGAGAGAGAGAGAGAGAGAATGAAAGAGAGAGAAGATAAAATTGCGACAGAATAAGTGCCTTTGTTGGTGAACAGACAACTAGCCCCAATGGGTGAGCTGTTTTCCTGGCTGGCAGCGACTGACTATTTCTATCAGCCCTGCCCCTTCCCCCCCGCCCCCGTGTTCCCAGGCCCGGCCACAATTCTCTCTCAGAGCATTGGTCTTCAGAGTGAGGTTCCAAGGGCAGCCATGTTAGCAATTCCAGGGAACTTGCTAGATAGACAAAATTTCATGCCCCACCCCAGAACTATTAAATCAGTAATTTTAGTAATTGAGCCCAGGCATCTGTGTTTTAACCACACTTCACCATGACTCTGATGCCCCTCAGGCCTGAGAGTCCTTGCCTTAGGGGATCTTCCTCCAAATAGGATAGCAGCAGTGGTTTCTTCTTTATTCTATTAGTTCAAGGCATTACTTGCATTTTACCTGAAGTGGACCAAGCTCACTCATTGCCTGCATCTTGTGCTCCTTGTCTCTTTATTCAGGGTCTTTGGCAGGGTCATACTCATTCGAAGTGGGCCAGAATGCTCTTCTGCCCTGCAACTACTCTCCAACCACCTACGAGGATCTCGTGCCTGTGTGCTGGGGCAGAGGACGCTGTCCTGTGTTTCAATGTCAGGGTGAGGTGCTCCACACGGACGGAAGGCATGTGTCATATCAGATGTCCAGCAGATATCAGCTAAAGGGGTATTTGCAATATGGAGATGTGTCCTTGACCATAGAGAATGTGACTTTAGCTGACAGTGGGTACTATTGCTGCCGCATCCAATATACAGGCATAATGAATGATAAAAAGTTAGACTTGAAGCTGGACATCAAACCAGGTGAGTGGAACTTTGCATGCTCTCTTTGTTAATAAAATTCACGTGCAGTTTATGTTCAATTTACTGACCGGTCTCACTTCTGACTTCTCCAGTTACAACCTTGATGGTGGGCCCCTAACACGTACAGGACCTTCGGCAATGCCAGACCATGTTTAATTTCTCTGTCTGTATTGAAACTCAAGGATAGGATCTACAAAATGAGAGGAAAGGTCCAGATCAGTGGTTGGGAGCCTGACTCCCCATTAGATTTACCTGGGCAGCTTTATAACACCTCCAGATGCTTGAGCCCCACCCACAAGCCAGAGAAAGCAGCGCCTCTGGAGGCAGAGCCTGAGCCCGGGATTTTGCGCAGTCTCCCCGGGGCGGTTCTCCCCGACGTGCAGCCAGGATTGAGACCCCCTGAGCGGCCGTGTGGGGGGGAGGTGCCCACGCTTGGGTGTTGAAGAGTTACAGAGCGTGTCCGTCGTGGCTGCTGGAGCGGAGTTCAACTCCAGCTCTGCCTCTTCCTAGCTGTGCAATTTTGGGACAAGTTATTTAAACTCTGGGACTTGCTCCTCCATGAAATACGGTAATTCCTACCATATAGGCCATTGCAACCTACGGCTTTAGGAGACGTTTTACGAAAAGCATCGGTGTGGCCATTTGTGTGGCTGTGAGTTCTATTATTAACACTTAGACTGTGACAGCGATGACCGCAACACAGTTCTTAAAATGTGTAACAAAAGGTGTCCAGGTTTGAAAGTTGAGCGTGTGTTCCTGTTTGTTTGCTGTTTCCTGTTTTTTTCTGCTGCCCCTTTGATGCCTGCACCAAACTCCCTGCTCTCAGAGAAGCCTCACCCTTGCATTGCTTTCTCACATTAGCCAAGGCCGCCCCTGCCTGGACCGCACGGAGGGACCTCACCACGGCCTTTCCACGGACGCCCACTACCGAGGGACCTGGCTCAGGTAGTTATACCTGCGGGGCAGGAGGGAGCCTTTAGGCAGCTTCTCAGTTCAGGGGATTTTGAATATGGGGGGGGGAAAACACGAGGAAACAGTTTAAGAGTAGAGGTATGAATGTTTTTGCACACATGAGGTAGCATTTCAGGTGAGGGAGATGATGGAGATAAACCTGTGCTGGGAAAAATGAGCCCTAGGCGAGGGTCTGGGTTAATCAAGGCCTAGCCTGGGGCCAGTGCCTTTCAGTTCTTTGGGTCTCAGCTTTCTCTTCTGTCCAGAGAATTTTGGATTTCATGATCCAGTAAAATTCCTGATTCCCACCTAAAAGAATTTCAATCTACATACTTTGACAAGAAAGGAAAGCTAAACTTCTGTCTAATATTGCTATTACTTTTAGGTTAAGTAAATTTAATCTAATGAAAAACTCTTTCCATTGGTGATGTTTTGCCTTGCATTGGTTCCAGTCCCTGGTTGGGATTGGATTAGGTGGTTTCCTGGACCCCTTCTAACTGGAGTCAAGCCCAGCCGCCTCCTCAGATTTTGATCTCAGTAAGAGCAGTTAAATCCTTTAAGTAGTTAAGCAAGGACTTTCCCATGCTGTTCTGGAAGAGAAGATAGGATCAGAAAAGCAGGCTTCAGGTCACATTGATCAGAAAGGTTAATCTTAATTATTTATTCCCAGAGACCTAGTCTCTCCCAAACTCTCAGGATCTCAGTTTTTTATTCTGTAAAATGAAATTAAACATAGGTAAATCCCATTTCCTAATTTCATAAATGTCACAAATTGTACTTCATGAGATTTAAATAAGAAATGTGACTAAAGTGCTTAGCCCAGTGTCTGATCATAGTGCACTCAATACATGCTAGTTGTTAACATTACCAGTAAAAGCCAGCGGCAGAGTGACATTGTGGGTGAATGCTTCAGTGACAGGTGGGATGGGTTCTAATGTCAGTTCTTCATACTAGATTTGTGAACTCAGTAAAGTTGCTCAAACTCTGGGAGGCCCAACTTCCTCACCTCTCCAGTGCCTACTTCATAAGATTGTTATAAAGATTGAATGTGACAATGTATTTAAAGTGTTCAGCATAGTGCCTGGCCCACAGAAAGCCTTCAAAACTAGTTATGTGTATAGTTATTAACTTCAGTTCTCTACAGGTTTAATCGTTTCTGGTTCTTTAGTTATTGTTAGCCACCATCACTTCACACAGTTAGCGGGGAGATGAAATCCGGTGGGAACAGATGACCATCCATGTTGCAGGCTAATCAAGTAATACAAGTTATTTATTGTATGTTATTATTATATTTTTATTTATTTTAAAATTATTTTTAGTTTTTATAATTTAGAGAGAGAGAAACATTGATCTGTTGTTCTACTTGCTTATGCATTCATCGGTTGATTCTTGTATGGGCCCTCACCAGGGATTGAACTCACAACCTTGGCATATCTGGACAATATTCTGACCAACTGAGCTACCCAACCAGGCTACTATTATGATATTTTTAAAAAATCCTATAACCGCAGACCTAGAAGGGCCTTCAGGGGTCATTTCATCCCACTGTCCCATCCCGTGCCCCAGTGTTCTTTATCACATCACCGCCAAGGAGGCATTCACTCTATGCCCACACACATTCCTGAAGGAGGAGTTCACTTTCTCATGAGGCAGTGCGTTTCCTCGGAGTTGTCTGTACCATAAACAGAAGTCTCCTTCCTTTCAGTTCTTACTCAATTTGTTCCTCCCCTCTAGGAAAAAAAAAATCTCTTGCCTCAGGGAATACATGCACAGTACCTATAATCTCAGCTTTTCGAACAGTCAAAAAAATATTTAAACAAAAAAAGGAAGTGCCTTCAAAATAGGAAAATAAAATGAAAATTTCAAATTAATGATATTTAATTGCATATCTATAGTAGGTAACGTTATGATTGTCACCCTCAGGTCAACTCATATGTAGTTATATGTACCTCTTCTTAATGTTGAATGTGGGTACATTTAATATGTTTGCTATAAAGTGGACTGGAGCCTTAGTAAGGGTTCCAAGGATCCTGGAAGCTTCTAAATCCATCCTGAATACAAAACAAACGCAATCTCTCTTCCACCTGAGGGAGGCAGAACTGGGTCCTGGGTAAGTCGTCAGCTTTGGAAAACTTTGAATCTCAGGTTTGCTGATTAATAGTTGTGTGATCTTGGGCAAAGTACTCCTCTGAGGCTCAGTTTTCCATTTGAAAAATGGGAAAAGAATAGTACCTACCTATTGTGGTAAAGATTAAAAGAAATTTTGCACATAAGTTGCTAAGCACCACGTCTGGCGCATAACACATACTGGGTGGTAACTATTAAATTCACATACTTTTAAGACCATTGTATCCCCCCCCCCTCCCGCCCACTGCTGCCTTCACCACAGCCAAGGCTTGGGTTCCCTAGGAAAAACATTACAACTTCCTCCTACTGTTCTACCTTCTCGGTTGATGAGCATCTATGTGGTAAGCCACAATGACCTAAAAGAGCTCTAGTTTATTGATCATTTTCACTGTAAAATAAAGAGAGAGAGACAGAGAGAGGGGGGGAGAGAGAGAGAAAGAGAAAGAGAAAGAGAGAGAGAGAGAAGTCAGATAGTTTTAGGCCAAATAAATACAGGAAGCAGCAACTGGATTTTCAGTAGAAAATCTTGTATGTGGTTAAGATTAATGTTTATTAGCAGCTCCACCGATATGATTTTTATACTTTAAATTCCTTTTGGGAAACAGAAACAAAGGTGACTCTAAGGTAATCTTTTTCCTTTCTGTTTTTTAAAAAAAAATAATTTAGGCTGATACTATGCTCATATGATATTAAAATCATAGTCTGTTAAACCAGGGCTTCTATATTAAGGGATTTAGACTTTTAGGCCTCCAGAAAGTGACAGGGGCACTTAAGAAGTTTCAGAATCTCTGACTGAACCAAAAAAGAATGAGTAGGCATACTCTATTTTCCCAAAGCCAAATCTATGAGGTCAGGCAGGGCCTGTGCCCCTCATGTTCATTGCTCTGTCCCCTGTGCCTGACAGAGTGGGTGTGTAGTACATGTTCATCGAATCGGTAGGCAGATGAATAAATAAATAAACAGAAAGGAAAGAAAGTGAGCTGGCAGCTGGGAGATGTGATGCACTTAATAGTAGTGACAATGCGGATGTGAAGGTTGTTGAAGGCAGCACAGTTAGGAGCGTATGCGTGTATTCACAGTAGCCTAGATATGGAAGCAACCTAGTTGTCCATTGATAGATGAATGGATGAAGACACACACACACATACACACACACGCACGCACGCACACACGCACGCACGCACGCATGCGGGCGCACGCAAAATGGAGTATTACTCAGTCCCAGAAAAGAATGGAATCTTGCCATTTGCAACAACATGGATGGACCTAAATGGTACTATGCTACCATTGTTCCTACTTGTTCCTTCTTCAGGATAGTTGTTTTGAATGCTAAATGAGGTATTTTAAGAATTTAGCACAATGCCTGCTCCTGGTAAATTGTAGCTAAAGTTATTTTTATTTTCATGTTTAGGCAACCAAATACCCTGTCTCCCTCTGAGAAAATGCCAAACTTTTTCAAGAAAATTAACTCCTGTTACCTGTTGAATTCTAATTATAATGCCTGCCTGAGTGTTATCAATGTTTTTGGTATTTTGTAGACACCATTAGGGCCTGTGGATACAACAAACTACATAGTCAGCATAGGCCTTCCTGGCAGAAATTTCCATTTCATACAACATAAATGGTTGAGTTCATTACTTGGATAAAAAAATCCTGAAGTTGATTCATTAGTGTTCAGTAGAGTTTATTGGTCTCCCAATTCATTGTTGGGAAGAGTATGGAGTAGAATTAATTTCATATATGATTATAGGCATCTCTAAGACTTTTAAAAACTCAGATAAAAGAAAACATTTGTAACCATTCTTCTTCTTTGTGGCAGAGACACAGACACTGGAGAGCCTCCAGGACAAAAATCAAACAGTAAGGAACTCTGTGTGTGTGTGTGTGTGTGTGTGTGTGTGTGTGTGTGTGTGTGTGTGTGTGTATGCGCGCGCGTGCGCTAACACTGTGTTTAACTCAGAGAAAATAAAAGTTTGGCTTTAGCCTTCCTTCCTGTGCACTCTTTCCTTGGGGGAAAATGCCTTTATTCTCCTCAGTTTCAAATTCCTTGACTATAGAATGGACTGAAATTTTAGGAGAGGATTTTCTGTGTGACCTTCAGTTATGAGGAAAAAAATAAAATCAAGTGGCAGCAATGGCAATAGCTGTTATTCATTAAGTATTTATCATGTAGTCAATATCAGGTCCTGTGCCAAGCATTTTATATTTTTGTCACTTCATTTCCCCAATAACTCTACAAGATGACTCAGCTCTTGGTGACAGAGCTTGGGTTGGAACCCAGGATGTCTAGCTGCAAAGCTGTGGCTTTTAAGTCACTGTCTTTCTGTGAAAAAAGAGGTTTCACCAGACACCAAACTTGGACTACTCTGAAACTTTTTGGAACACCAGGGGATCTTGAAGGCAGCGGACTCTTCTCTAAAGCCCATTTTTGTTTGTGGGAGAGGGAAGGCCATTTACTGAGAGCCCCTCCTTTGTCTACCGCCCAGAAGGGCACATTTTATTCTCCTGTGAACTCCAAAGATTAAGCTGCTCCCTTTCTTTGGGTGTTTTGAGGCTTGTTTGGAAAGGAACAGATCAGGGGTGGTTTCAAGGTCTCTGTATACCTGTGATGCTCTAAAAGGCATGTTGCAATGCACAAGTCATGGAAATGGCTGAGCGTACAGCCAATTTCTGGCCAGATGCTGCAATTCTGTTTGTGTTTCCATAGCAAATATCCACATTGGCTAATGAGTTGCAAGACTCTGATGCTACCACCAGAAGAAGCATCTACATCGGAGCAGGGATTTCTGCTGGGTTGGCTCTGGTTCTTATCCTTGGTGCTTTAATTGTCAAATGTAAGTCATTTAATGTCGTATGTCTCTCCCTCTGATAAGAAACTGTTAACATAGAAACCAACATAAACCTAGATAGAAAAATACATTTATATTTATACCCAAAGGTGGTTAGACTAAAACTCTTTCGTCCTTCCAAACCCTAGCAATAATAATGGCTAATTTTTATTCAGTGGTTACCATGTAACAGGCAGACATTGTACTAAATGTTTTACATGCATTTTATCATAGTCACCATTCTATAAAGTAGGTAGGATTATTATCCCCTTTTTAAAGTAGGGGAGAGTAGAGCTTAGAGAAAATAAGCCACTTTCCCGAGGTTTCAGAATCAGCAAGTGGTGAAGCTGGAATTCAAATTCAAGCACCTGTTCTCAGTACCTGTTCTCTTGTCTTTCGTTAGGAAAATTAACCTTTTTAATTCATGAATATGTCTAGGTTTATTAGAAAGCCCAGCAATGAAAATCCTTTCCTTCTGTGAATTTTTCTGTCTTCTCTGTTTCCCAGGCAGAGAGCTTAGAGTGAGATATCAAGTCCTTTTACTGTTGGGTATGGCCAGGACTGCAGCGTTAGTATTTTCCTCAATCACAACAGTCAGCACATGCGTTTTTCTCCAAGTTACTTATCTTTATTTTTAAAAAATGTTACTAAAGGGTGATTTATATACAACAAACGTCTTATTTAAAGTATATTCAACTTGGTGAATTTTGGTGGATGATTGTACCTGGGAAACTATGACCACAGTCAAGGCCCAAACGCTTTCATGAGCCCAAAAGCCTCACACTTTTTTAAAACTGTGATACATTCTCCTCTTTGACGGCAGAGGCGAAGGCCTTATATCCCAGAGCTTGATGCATTATAGCAGCCTTTCTTACTAGTATACAAACAGGGACAGTGTGTAGGGTAACCAGCGGTCCCAGATTTGCCCAGGACTGAGGGGAGTTGCTAAGATGTGGGACTTCATTGCTAAAACTGGGACAATCCAGGGAAAATCAGGATGAATTGCTCACCCTAATTGTGTGGCTTTATGTGCATTAAATCCTTACAACTACTCTACTGAGAAAGGCGCCAATATTATTCTAACTTACCAAATGGAGAAGCAGTGTGCTGAAAAGTAAAGCAACGTGCCCAAAGTCACATAGGGAATTGCTAGATATAGGATCTGCAACCAGGGCTCTCCTGCTCCTCACGATTATGTTATTCTGCCGTTACTGCTAAATGGGTTATGTAGAAAAAGAAACTATTCCCCCTACACACTTACCAGGGTTTAACAAAGGTATCACTGGATTTGTGAACTGATCACATGAATATGAAATTTATGGATTGATAAGGAGCAATGATAACACTCACTACCTTTGAGCTCTGCCAAGGCCTGAATATTAGAGACCATTCTAGTATGTGTAAAGGAGGGTTAGAGCGGGGAATGAGGAGTAGGAAGTCTGACATTTTGTGTACACATGCACTCACACATACAGGGCTGGCCAAAAGTAGGTTTACAGCTGTTCCGATGGAAAAATACATAATACAAAAGTAAATAAGGCATGCGCCCTCTTGGGAGCACGCCCACACATTTCTTCCTTCTCAATGTGCATCTTCTAAACTCTCAGAGACCCCAGAAGACTTGCAATGAGGGGAGCAATGGGAAGCGGCATCTTGTCCCAGGCTAGCCCCGTGAACCTGTCTCCAAGGCCATCTTTTCTCTGGTTTCCCAGTGAGCCAAAGCAGCAATATTGAAGTTGACTCTCACTTATTCTAGAAAGTCTTTCTTCTCTTGGCTTCTGAAACAGTGTTCTCCTACTTCACTGGCCAATATTTTTCAGTCATTTTTATGTCCTCTTCTGCTTGACTTCTAGGTGTGGAGATCCCTCAGGGCTGGCCATTTCCCTCTCTCTACACCTTTATGCAATGACCTGTATTTCCACAGTCTTAAACGTCACCTTGGTATCTCTCTCCAACTCTCAGAATGTTTGTTCAGTCGACACCCCCACGTAGATGCCTCAAACATCTCACATGTCCAGTGGAACTCGAGAGCCTACATTGCACCTGCCCAGCAGGCAAACTCTCCCTCTCTGGTCCTCCCATCATGATGTTACACTGCCATTTGAAAGCCAGAAAGCCAGAAGTCATCCTTGAATCCTCTCTTTCCTCGCTCTTAACATACAATCCAAGTTCAATTCCCTCAGCCTTTCTCCAAAATATATCTAAAATCCATTCATTACCCTGTATCTCTCTTAGTCACCACCTTACTCTGACGGAACATCATGTCTACTTACCTCCTCACTTCATTCTACCTCCTTTTAACCCACCTTCCACATAGCAGTCTGAGTGGTTAAACCCAATCACACCATATCTACATGCGTAGTTATTTCTTACAGGTCTTAGTATAAAATGCAACCCCTTGATTGTTACTTAAAAGGTCCCATAGGATTGAGCACTAGCCTACCTCTCAGATCTTATCTTGAGTTGCTCTCTTATTCCAGCCGTGCTTTCGGTTTCAGGCCCTCACCACGATCTCTCTCAGGGGTTCTCTCTGCCTGGAATACTCCATCTGGCTCTTCACTTGGCTGAGATCTCTCAGAGCTGACCTTAAAGGTCCCTTTTCTGAGCGTGCATTCCAGGCCACCTTCTCTAGGATCAGTTCCAGTGCATTGCTGGTTTCCTTTATATCACATTACAATGAGATATTATTATTATTATTATAGTTAGTATTGTTGCTTTAAAAATCTACCCTCACTAGAACACAGGCTTCACAAAGTCAGAGCTCATAATTTACCTTTGTGTTCTTAGTGCTTGGCACACTGCCAGACACATAGTAGGTGTTCCACATATTTGTTAAATATGAAAAATGTATTTTTATTACTTCTAGCATAGTTCATGTAATAAACCAAGACACACAGTGGTAGTTTGATTTAATTCGATCTAAGGGAAAACCAGGTGTCTTTAAATAGTCCTTGCCTCCAATGAGTTCATCTTATTTATTTATGACAACAATTTTAATAGACTTGTCTTCCCTCTTTTACCTAGGGTATTTTCATAGGAAAGAGAAGTTACAGAATTCAAGGTAAGAATAAAGGGCGCAGTCGGGGAAAGCGGGGATCTTGGCGGTCCCTGCACTAACATGGCTTTGATCTTTGCCCTCAGATGTCCTGCCCTGGGACCTTGGGATCTAATCTTACTCTTGCTTTTTGCTTTACGCCTAAATTTATGAAACGCAAACACACAGCTCTGTTCACTTTATGATTGCTCTAGCTTCTTTAGTCCTAATGTTACAGTACAGAATTTATCTCCCCATTGATAGGAAATGCTTATTTATTTCTATATCAATAGATCTTTTCCTTCAACTGGCCCTTCAGTTGATTGAGCATTTACTGTATCCAGGCTTTGGGTGGACACTGGGTTCTAGGAGTGAACAAGAAAGCCAGAATCTATTCTCAGGGCTTTTATAGCCCTGTCCAGGTGTTCTTAACTCAAATAACCTATGAGAATCACTTATGGTACTTACACAATGTGTTGTCAACCCCAGAACAAATACACCAGAATCTTTAGGGATGAGGATGAGGCCTAAGCATAGGCATTTTTCTAGAAACTTTCCAAGTAATCCTAATGTGTACATAGGGTTGAGGACAACTGGTCTGTAATATTGGAGTTTTAGTCTCCATTCGTGACTATATTCACATATATTTACACATATGCATGCATACACCCCAGTTCCAAATGTGTATAGCTGACACACCTTATACTAGATTCTAATAATATAGACAAAGTAGAGACAATATATTCATGAAGACAAAATAGTCTACAGTAAAGAAGTCAAAAAAGGTCAAGTAAAATATTGAATTATCAGTAGTTTTAAATGATCTATGTCACTATTCTTTCTTAGAGCGGAAACCTGAAATGTGATAACATTCATTGGTATCAGTTACATGCATTAAATCATTATTTGTGACATAGTTGGTTAATGTTCATCTCTATCTATAAAGGTAAACTGCATAGAAAATAAGGAACTTGTCTGCCACATTAACAACTATATCCCCCAGCACAATAACTGATACTTAATAGGCACTTAATAAATATTTGATTATGGAATGAATAAAATGCTCCTTATAGCGCCTTGGTGAGATAGAGCGCTAATTGATCCCATTTTATAGATGAGGACCCTGAGACACAAAGTTTTCTAATATGTAGCCTTCATGGAATCTGTGTGTTTTATTCACTGCTGTATCTCTTGCTGCATAGAACGGTGTATAATACATTAAATATTTCCTGAATACATGAGTGAAAAAACAAAACCCTGCTTTCCCAAGATTGTATGGCTGGTAATTGACATGACAGAATTCAAACACAAATTTGATTGGATACATAACATACTCATTTTGTTTTTGTTTTTTGAAATTGTTCCAGTCCACAGAATAATGGGAATAATAGTACAAGGTACAATAGAATCCTTTATATAAACATGTTAACAATTTAATAAGTTTGCTTTATCTGTTTCTTTCTTTATACAAATTGCTCCTGAACTGTTTTAAGGATGTTTCAGACATCTTGACACTTCACCAAAATTTTAGTCTGTAGATCCTAAGAATAAGAATATTCTTTGAGATCCCACAATGCCACTTTTATACCTAAGAAAAGTAAGATTAATTCAAATTATCTTAATGTTTATCAAATTATCCCATTTTATGGTTTCTCCTCCTCCCATTGCCCCCAGTCAGGACCCAGTCGAGCATCATGACTGCATGGGGTCAAGGTCTCTTAGCAAAGCTTATTCCCTTTATTCTGCATGGCCTGGGAAATGCTTACCTCAGCTGCAACATTTTATTTCCACAGCCTCATCACGTTGGCCAACCTCCCTCCCTCAGGGTTAGAAAACACATTAGCAGAGGGCATGCGCTCAAAGGAAAACATCTATACGATTGAGGAGAACATATACGAAATAGAAGATCCATCGGAGTATTACTGCTACGTCAACAGCAGGCAGCGACCCTGACAACGTCCGAGGGGGCTGTTGCTCTTCCGTGCCATCACACCCAGCTTCATTTTTGAGCTTCTATTGTCTTCTTTGGAAACTATCAAGTGTGTCAGCTGATTGGCATTAAGGTTCTGCCCACTGTCACCAAGCAACCTTTTTCCATTTTCTGAAGATGATGAGCTCACATAAGGATTGGACCGTGACCTGCATAATTCTCAGGCTTGTTACATTAGCCCTGCATTCCGGCCACGGGGTTACCCAACTCAGAGGCTGCTCATTGGGGCATTAGAACCCAAAGGAGCTTCTGTGTAAGATGGAATTCTTACTATGGGGTCCTAGAATTCCAGGGATTTCAGTCCCATGATGTGTCCATGAAGCTCCTGAAACTGTGGGGAAAGTTACATGCTGGGATATGTGCGTTGTCTCTTTTGGTACAAAATGTCTAAGGGCCACTGATTTCAAGGAGCACGGTGACTCATCAAAGGTTAAGAAACTACTGGAGCAGGACCAGATGGTCTTGAAGGTGTCCTTTGAGTCTCAGGGCTTCTGCTGCTTTGAAGGAAGACTCTCCAGCAGCAGCTGCCCCTGCACAGCTCTCCTCCCCAGTTGAAGACGGCCCAGCCGGCCAGCGGTGGCGCAGGAGCACCTGAGAAAAAGGAAGTGCCCTCGGTGTATGTTGTCAAGTTCTGCTTGGGACGCACTCAAAGGGAAATATCTCTGACCAACTTCTCCATTCATGGAGAGAACTGGAGCTTGTTGTCCACAGAAGAAGAAGCAGTGACTGGCATGCAGTTTCTGTTTCCCAGTGGAAAGAAGGCAAAGGGCTCCAGCGGTCCACGTTTGTCTTGGTGGAAAGACAGCTTCCATTCCAAGGTTGTGGAGACTGGGTCTGCTGTATTTATTTGTTGCCACCCTAGTGCGTGCCATTGCTCTCACACAACATGGAAATTTGCAGACGGAGCGCTGTCACCTCACTTCTTGGAGAATTCGCAAGCACCCCTAAGCTCCGTGTGTGCCCTTACGTAGGCAAAGGTGGCTGTTGTTTCTCAGCATCGTCTCCCATGTCAGGCGCTTGGAAGTCTGTTACCCCTTGTCTGTTTCCCGCTTCCTGCTGAGCGCTCCTCTGTGCACAAGGGACTAATCAACAACACCCACCTGTCCCTGCCTGAAGACTGTCCCCCCACCCCCAGGTGATGGCTAAACTGCTGCTGTGCCACAGGCCATAGATATTAGTCACCAAAGGCGCGGGCAGGCTGTCTGCTTGTTCCTAGGAGGCTTTCCGGCAGCCTGAGCTATGGTGTGAATTCTAGCATTGGGCTGCATCTAGACAGCTTGGGGAAGTGCTGGCTTTTTTTAGGGAGCCATGGAAAGGAGATCATTTTGCAAAATCACAGGCAGTGGCTCTCATACTTGTTGAAAAAAATTAATCATAATGTTTTAAAGTTACAAAATTCTGGTGGGAAAGGACTTCAGAACACACTTGGGCCAGCTCAGTGGTTCCCCCACAAAGGAGATTCTTATCCTACAGCATTTGAACAAGTGCATGTATACACGGATTACCATCGCAATATTTGTGAGAGACTTTTCCATCAGCAGGGGAATAGTTGATTATTGTGATCCATGAGCACGTGGGTGCAGGCAGAATTAGGCAGTTTTATCATTGAGCTGTTTTGCTCATTCAGCAAGTGTTTATTAGTGCTTACTAAGTGCCAGATACTCTGATGCTGAGACCAGAGAGACAGACCAAATAGACACACCCCTGACCCGACAGAACTCCTAGTCTGACCGGCTGGAGTATTCATTCCATCCATTCGTTCCATGAACATCCATTGGCATCGACTCTGTCAGGCATGGGGTTAGTCCCCAGGAAAAGAACAGCGAGGAAGCAGATAAAACCCTCCCTCCGACAAAACTTATGTTACTTGTCCGAGGAGAATGCTATATTGCTGCGTTAAAAGAAAAATATGTTTTAGAATAGTACACATAGTTGGTGTAAATTTTTTCCTTACCTTAAAAAAATCTGGAAGAACACACCCAAATTAATTTGGTTACCCCATTGAACAAATGATCAAGAGGCAGACGTTCACTTTTTTCTTTCACATGCTTCTGTAATTGTTTGATGATCTCCATTTTGTTTTGTAATAAAAAGATTAGATTTAAACATTACAGCACTATTTTCCTGTCTGCTTTCCGTTTCATAGAAAGAAATGAAGACCTGAACAGGTTAACCTAAAGGTCAGGGCCGACAGCAGAGTGTGACCACAAGGTCAGACTGGAACCCTGATTTTCAGAGTAGGATCCATATCACATCAATCATTTGGTTGGGAAAGATGGCAGGAAGGGGAATAAAAAGCTGCTACAAGCGCCCTGAGATGACAACTGGAAATTTAATTAAAAAATGTAATTAGTTTGAATATGTGTTTTGGTCATTGAAGTGCCTTGGATTTCTGTTTGTTTTTGGTTTCATTTCCCCAGAGCTGTGCCTAAGAGTCTCACAGGCTATGAAAAGAGGGGCCCCTTATCTTTTATGACTGAAAAAGTAAGGCCTTACTACACTTTTTTAAAAATTTATTGATTTGAGAGAAAGAAGAAGTGGGGGGAGAGAGAGAGAGACAGACAGAGAAACATCAGTTTGTTCCACTTAGTTCTGCATTCATTGGTTGATTCTTGTCTGTGCCCAGACAGGGGATGGAACCTGCAACCTTGGCCTATCTGGACAACGCACTAACCAACTGAGCTACCCGGCCAGGGCAAGCCTTACTATGTTTTATCTGCCTATTACTTCTTCTCAGCTTGAAATTCTCAAAGCAGAAATTCCAAGTGATTCTTTGTTTTATTGTACTTTACCTTATAGTGCTTCACGTGTGAGTTTTTTACAAATTAAAGGTAGGGCCCGTCACCAGTAAAAATTTCTGACTCGCTTTATTGTGAGTGGTCTGGGACTAAAGCCACAATATCCCCAAGGTTTGCCTGCAGTTGATTTTGGGACATCTCCAGGTGCCTATTCCCATTTAAATTTTAATTTTATTCTCATTGAAAGTTAAATTCAAAAAATTAAACTAAAGCATTAATTGGTCTCCAGATTTCTAGTGAGAAAGTGTGGATCCTTCTGGAGAGAAGTAATGGTGCCCCAGAGCTATAATCTTTAAGATGTCCATCAACGTTTTCTGGGACTCAGTTGGAAAGAGGGGAAGGAGCGGGGCAGCCGGTGGAACATTGGGTGAAAGGTGCTCGAGCTTGAAGAGGGTCCGATTTTGACCAATGTTGCCTGGGAAACCTGTGCAAGGAGCAGGATGAGTCAGAAATGTTACTTCCAGGCTTCAAGCTCCTCTGTCTTTTTCTCAGTTATGTTGACTACAGTTATAAAGGACATCCCAAGTGACTCATTTCCTCATAGTAGTGATTTTTTTTTTCTGAATTCTTATTCAATTTCCTTCTGCTTTTGCTGTGACCCTCTTTTTGCAGGAGTGAGTTGGTTTTTTGTTGTGTGTTTTTTTTATAATCCACACCTGAGGATATGTTTATTGATTTTACTTTTTGTTTTTATTTTTATTTATTTATTTTCAGAGCGAGGGGAAGGGAGGGAGAAAGAGAGGGAGAGGAACGGCCATGTGTGAGAGAGACAATGACTGGCTGCCCCCAACTGGGGACCTGGCTGCAACCCAGGCACGTGCCCTGACTGGGAATTAAACCAGAGACCCTTTGGTTCACAGACCGGCACTGAGTCTACTGAGTCACGCTATCCAAGGCATGTTTATTGTTTTTAGAGAGAGAGGAAGGATGGAGAGAGAGAAAGAAACATTGATTTGAGAGAGAAACATAGATTGGTTGTCTTCCATATATGTCCCAACTGGGGATCGAACCTAAACCTAAGTGTGTATCCTAGCCACAGATGAACCCCACAACCTCTTGGTATGCAGGACAACGCTTCAACCATCTGAGCTACCGGGCCAGAGTGTCAGTGTTTTGTTTAATCGTTTTTTAAACTATTCATGTGTGGTGGTGGGCCATCTTTTTAAATATGCATATTATTATAACATAGTTCTTTTGTGGGTATGTCACCACTGGAAAATATTTTATTATAGCTCATAGTCCACTTTATTATGGCTTATAGTTCATGTTTCATGATAAGTTGGTATGCTATCTTTTGTCATTTCTCTTTTTTGTATTTCTACTTTTGTGTTCATTTGAAACCTAGTTCATTTAAAATGGAAATATTTTACACTCCAATGTAATGTTTATTGTCATTTGGTCAGCTCTGGAATATCCACATATCTATACATCTAAGATGTTTTAAATTTTATTATCCACAGTTTCACTTGCCATTACTTCTCAGTTGTGTGCTGAATTTAATCACTGCTCATAAAACACTGAAGTAAAACGTAACAGCTGTATATTTGTAGGTTAAGGGTGTTCCACACAGTTTAGTTTTACTAATCCTATAGACATTTTAATTCATTTCTTTATTCCCAAGTTTGCCGCTAGATCTTAGCAAAAATCTCTTGACCTGAGGACTGGCTAAATCAGAGAGCTGACGTGGGGATCCAGCGGCGAGGGAGCTTTAATGGCCCAGGCACCCAGGCCTCCAGAAAGTTCTCGGCCAGGCCGCACTCTCTTGGCTCTCTCCCGCAGTCCGCCTACTGCAAGAAAAATCGCTGCTACACTGCAGGAGCCACCAGATAGTTTCTAATCGCCATGGGAGAAAAGGGCGATCTGATTTGGTAGAGTTTCAGATAAAAACTAAACAGCGTGACACGTAGCTCTCCTAGCTCTTTTATTTCAAGCAAAGGTGGTTACGAGGGACCCTGGGTGGGGCAGCCGGCCTGGAGCCACTCGCCTACAGTGTGTTGAGACTCGGAGTAAGAGGACGAATCTCTCTTTAAGCAGAAAACACACAACTTGTTAAGTTGCTTGTTTCTTTGTTTTATTTATTTTTTTTTTACCTTTTCATTTTGAAATAATTTGAGATTTACAGAAATTTACAGGGATTCACCTCTTTCCCCTGACTAACAGCTAACGTAACCAGGGTACGTTCGCCAAAACGAAGACATTGGCATTGGTGCAACACTATTATCTAAACT